AAAATTAAGCTAGCTCCTCAAATTCCTATGATTATACTGCTTCTCCTGACAGAAGAAAATAGTACCAAAAATTGAAAATCATAATACGAACTTGGGAAGAATATATATTGGCGACGTGCTATTTCTCATGTGTTTGTCGGTGCCAATGAGCTCCCTCTGGCGGCAGCGCATCTCCGCTCTCCGACGACGACGAGGATGCCCATGTGCTCTCGAATTGATTCAAAGAGAAATAGCCGCGCAGCTCTTCGGATATAAGGTTGCATTGCATGCAGCGCCAACAGAGCCCGGCGACGCCATTCTTGGAATTCAAAAAAAAGTGGTTAAGAGGCAAACACGCATTCACGGTTGGTTTTATTGCCCCGGGCCCACGGGGATCTGTCTCAACTCTAGCTCTAACTGTCGACTGTCGTAACCGACATACCAGAATTACCTACAGCACGTCTCTTTTTTATTTTTATACATAAATATACATTAAATTGATACTCCTATATAGTGGAAATAAACTATATTTTTGTGAAAAAAATAAACTATACTGGCTAAATATACACTTTAATACTATTTTCGTTTAACCTCAGCACAGACATGCTAGATAACCTCAGCACTCTACATTCTCTTCACACTATAAAACCTGAATCGCGTGCTAGGCATGTTGAATCAGTCCAAATTCTTATATATAAAAAAAAGAATCAGTCCAAATTCAGTGGAATGTAGATAAGTTTAGATATTCAGAAACTAGGATAGTTTGAGGAGTCATGTCTTACTGATAAGTGGTAACAACATGTCTTACTATAACAGCGATGATTCGCTTAACCCTTCTGTCTGCGGCGAGTATATTGAAATTGAATTGCCGTTTGTAGAGATATCAGCATCTACATTAATCACAACAATTCTGTTTTTAGGGCAATTTTGTTTATGAATTAATCACACACAGTACATTCATAGATACAAATGATACGATACAAGGAATCTATTCAGAGTATAGATATTATGACAAGGTTTAGCACAGAGCAAATAAGGAGAAATGGTTAAATCATCATTCAGAAAAAGAATAATAGCATCTCCTTGAGTAAGGAGGATAATAGCCTCTCTTAGAAGGAAACGACACCAGAACTGAACAATAAGATACCATCACTACACTACTATTATAGTTCTGCTCATTTGATAGTCTAGACTCTCTGCAAACTTTTCTCTTGACATCAATTTGTAAGTAAAATTGACAACGTGGGCAGATTGCCACTTCAGGACTGCTGCTTAGGCGATGGTTGCTCAGCATCTTCACATTCCTCTTCTTTACAGGCCTTTAGATAATAGAGCTACCACCTTAGATGCAATATCTGTCAGCACATAAATAGTCACTGGTTACTCTACCTGCTACAACACAAGCTCCAGGCATTCACATTTATCAAAAGGAAATGAAAACACATGATACCTAAATTATTTCTCTCCAGCGAGACAATAAGCCTACAGAATGATGGAAAAGGCAAAAGAGATGTAGAAAGATTATTTTACAAAATTAACACTCCAGTGTGGAGGGAGATAGTGCTTCTAAAGGTTTTCGATGTGAATACAACTCATATGGGGTTAGTATCATATGGAACTGTGTTTCAAGTGTAATATGGTGTGAAGAGAATGTCGAGCTTTAGAAGAAACATACTATATCTATATGTATCACAATTCAATTAGTCACAGAGTTTCAACATCACAAATCTGCCAAACTTCTGCAGGGTGCACCTAAAAATAACTTCATGAATATAAGCACGCTTGATTGTTGTCTTTCTACGTTACAGTTTACCTTTGTATCTATGTTATTTTGTTTGTGATGGAAGCAGTTGGTTTGGGATTAGCTTTCACAACCAAAGGTGTATATGATCCACTTGGCACGAAACTTGGTAGAGATTTAGATCTTGCTCCATACCAACAGGGGCTCCGTCCCAATGCAACCATTATCTGCCTTATACACCTAAAAACTGTAAGCTGAAACATGCACCATCTCCCAAAGCACCATTGACTAATCAATCCCAACCCTTCACCCTCCTGACCTCACCCATACTAGGCTAGGGTGGATGAGGGTGAATCAAAAACAGCCCCGCCCATCTAAAGACCTCTAAAGCTTGACATGACTTCCATGAGAGAAAATAGCTGTGCACCTTTTTTTTCAGGAAAATACTATTACTATGCGAGGGAGCAAAAGTAGACAAATAGGCATGCTTTGATTTCAACAACAGACCTCTCGTTTCAGATCATCAGGTAGACTGTCTGTTGAAATAAGAGTCTGAAATTCAGCTTTCAGCTTCTCATCTTTGATGCCCAACCACGTGTTGGGATGTAAAGCCAGCAGAAGAACAGTTAGAACATCCACGCTTGATGGATATTTGATGACATTGTTCTTTATGTAGCCAGATTGACTTTGTCCTCGCAAGAAGAAAGGACAAACGAGCATGCTTGGATTGCAAGGTGATACCAGGGGAGTGTGTTGTTTCTCAACATAAGCTTTTGGTGGCAAATTTTCGTTTTCAGGTGCGTGCCCGTAGGGATAAACAAGCTAAGATTCAAAGAACAAAGTGGTGGAAACTGAAAGGGGAGACGTCAGAGGTATTTAGGGAAAATGTTATCAAAGAGGGCTCTTGGAAGGAAGAAGACGACATAAACAACATGTGGGAGAAGATGGCAACCAACATTCGGAAGGTAGCCTCAGAGGTGTGTGGAGTAACCAAAGGAAGTGGAGGCGAGACTAAAGATACTTGGTGGTGGAACGAGGAAGTCCAAAGGGCTATTAAGGAGAAGAAAGAATGCTATAGACGCTTGTACCATGATAGGAGTGTGGACAACATAGAGAAGTACAAGGTGGCAAAAAAGACTGCAAAGCGAGCTGTAAGTGTGGCAAAGGGTAGAGCGTACGAGGATCTTTACCAACATTTGAGTACGAAGGAAGGAGAGAAGGACATTTATAGGATGGCTAGGGTTCGTGAGAGAAAGACACGAGACTTCAACCAAGTAAAGTGCATTAAGGATGAAAGGGAGCATCTCTTGGCGAAGGAGGATGAGATCCGACATCGATGGCAAGAGTATTTTGATAAATTGTTCAATGGTGAGAATATGGACACAACCTTTCAGTTGGATGACTCTTTTGATGACACCAATAGACGCTTTGTGCGGAGAATCCAAGAATCTGAGGTCAGAGAGGCGTTGAAAAGGATGAAAGGAGGTAAGGCGATGGAACCAGATGGTATCCCAATCGAGGTGTGGAGATGCCTCGGGGACATAGCTATAGTATGGCTAATCAAGCTGTTTAACCATATTTTGCGATCGAACAAGATGCCTGATGAGTGGAGGAGAAGTATATTGGTACCGATCTACAAGAATAAAGGGGATATTCAAAGTTGTACTAATTATCGGGGAATTAAGTTGATGAGCCATACTATGAAGCTATGGGAGAGAGTTATCGAGCATCGCTTGAGAGCAATAACGCGGGTCTCTGTGAACCAATTTGGTTTCATGCCCGGAAGGTCAACTATGGAAGCCATTTTCTTAATAAGACAAGTTATGGAGCGGTATAGGGAGAAGAAGAAGGACATACACATGGTTTTTATTGACTTGGAGAAGGCTTATGATAAAATACCAAGGAATGTTATGTGGTGCGCTTTGGACAAACATAAAGTCCCAACGAAGTACGTCGGGCTCATTAAGGACATGTACAACAATGTTGTGACTAGAGTTCGAACAAGTGATGGAGACACGGATGACTTCCCGATTAGGATAGGACTACATCAAGGGTCAGCTTTGAGCCCTTATTTGTTTGCTTTAGTGATGGATGAGGTCACAAGGGACATACAAGGGACATCCTTGGTGTATGATTTTCATGACGATGTAGTGCTAGTTGATGAAAGCCGGACAGGAGTGAATCAAAGCTGGAGTTATGGCGGGAGACTTTGGAGTCAAAGGTTTTAGACTCAAGCAGAACTAAAAGCGAGTATATGAGATGTGACTTGGCACTACTACTCGGGAGGAGGAAGATGTTAGTTTGGAAGGTCAAGTAGTGCCTAGGAAGGATACCTTTCGATATTTAGGATCAATGCTACAGAGGGACGGGGACATTGATGAAGATGTTAGCCATAGAATCAAAGCAGGGTGGATGAAGTGGCGGCAAGCGTCTGGTGTCCTATGTGACAAAAGGGTACCACAGAAGCTAAAAGACAAGTTTTATAGGACGGCGATTAGACCTGCTATGTTGTATGGTGCAGAATGTTGGCCTACGAAAAGACGACATGTTCAACAGCTAAGTGTCGCGGAAATGCGTATGTTGCGTTGGATTTGCGGTCATACAAGAAGGGATCGAGTTCGGAACGATGATATACGTGATAGATTAGGGGTAGCGCCAATTGAAGAAAAGCTTGTCCAACACCGGTTGAGATGGTTTGGACATGTGCAACGAAGACTCCCAGAGGCACCGGTGCGTAGTGGCATCCTAAGCCAGGATAGTAACGTGAAGAGAGGCAGAGGAAGACCGAAGTTGACTTGGGTAGAGGCAATAAAAGGAGACTTGAAAGGATGGAATATACCCAAAGACTTAGCCTTAGATAGGAGTGCTTGGAAGACAGCTATTCACGTGCCTGAACCTTGATTGCTTCTGATGGGTTTCAACTCTAGCCTACCCCAACTTGTTTGGGACTTAAAGGCTTTGTTGTTGTTGTTGTTGTTCTTCAAGTTTGAATTGCATGAACTGGCACCAAGTGAAGACATCGGCAAAAGCATATCAACACCTTGTTCACTGCCTTCAGATACCACGGAGCCTGAGATAACAGTCTTAAGCCCATCCCCATTCGCTTGGACACATTTCAAACAAGTTTCTCTGCAGCAGAAGGCATCTCTTGGCACAAGGTTTCCTGATAGAATTGCAGCTCCCTGACAGCACACAACGGCTGCAATCCTAGTAAGGGAATCATCTTCGCTCGGCGGTGAGCAATTACAACATGGTTTATTAGCATACTGCTGATCATGGACTATGGCAAATAGCCTGGTATCGCGAACTTGCTGTAGTACATTTTCCTGCAAGTGAACACAAGAAATGTAAGTGTGTTACATAAGGGAGGAAAAGCCTAACCCAGGATCCGAAAACGAAACAAAAATCAAGAAATGTCACCTTCAAGAAAAACCTTTCTTTCTCCTCTTTGCTTAAGCTTGGTCCACCTTCCTCTTTTCTCCTAACTTCTACAACCCATTTGATCAAAGATTCAGCATCAGCTGGAAGAGACTCAATTAAATGGGACAAAAGTGCTGGAACATTGTCTAGATTCTCTGCCTTCAAAAGATTTGGTAAATCTTCAACACAATACTTTGCCATGCTTTTCCAGTTTTCATCTCTGCAACTCTGCAGAAATGAAATTGCTGAGCAAAGAAAAGTATATCAAATACCTCATTTACGCTTAATTGACCGATTATTGGTATTTACCACTGTGTACAACGATGAAGGAGCTGCAGTCTGTCTTGATATAAGCATGAACCTATCAAACATCAGGAGGCCAATATCTTAAAATGGCATGATTAAAAGTCAAGACAGACTACTGACCAATTGATCAAACTGAAATTTTCTGAATGTATCAAGCCGAAACATCACTGGAATTTTTTGAATGCATAGGGAAGTGCATATAGACGATATGGCATTAAGGTATACTGTACGTATTATGGACAACACAGTTTCTATACTTGATATTGGGTACAAAGGCACGGTTATCTTAATGCTGGCCTGTCCCAAGAGAAAATGATCAAGAGTAAGTGAGGGGAAGAAAGGCAAGAGTAGAAACCCTCTGAGAAGTCCAGTTGAGTCATCAGTTGTATTCATGGCTTCCCAAAGAAGTTGCAATGGAACCCAATGTGGAGGATATTTGAAACGTGCGACATCCAAGATGAGCGCCATATCCTGTCCGGCATGGTAGCCACCGATTGGAGAGAAATGCCCAGTTCCAGTCTGCATCATCGCAAAAGGCGTGCATCAGTCTACACACAGACAGTAGTTATCAAGTTATGTGCAATGGAGGATGACGAATTCATCAATCCAATCTAACCAAATGGGTACATGAAGATACTAGTTATATGCAATGGAGGATGACGAACTCACCAATCCAATCTAACCAAATGCGTACATGAAGATTAATTGGTGGTAGTACTGTAGTGCAAGTAATTAGGAGAGCGTGACTAGGGGAATTCGCCAGGGGGCCGTAACCTGTTTGAAAGCCTTCCTGTGGTAGGAAACAATAAGATGGCAGTCCTGGGAGGAGACGCATCGGATGAGATGCCGCCGTAGGTCGTGGATGGTGACCCGGTTAGCGCGGAAGGATTGGACGTCGGCGCCGGAGCAGTGCGCGAGGCAGGCGACCTTGCCGAAGGTGATGCCCTGGGCCTTGACCTTGTCGAGGGGCTCGCAGCAGTCCAGCATGGACTCGTCGAACCAGCGCCAGGGCCCCTTCCAGCGGCGGCCCGGGTCGATGGCGAGCGCGTTGAGGACGACGGCGAGGGAGGCGAGGCCGCAGAAGGCCGGCTCCGACTGCGTCTGGAAGACGGAGACCAGGGGGAAGAAGCCCTCCATGGTGCCCGCAGCCAAGGCCTCCGCGAAGAGGCGCTTGCCCTCCGGCGAAGCGAAGTCCACCGCCGGCGGCGACGGGAGGACCCGCCTGTACAGCGACGCCACGGCCAAGGCGCCTCCTTCTCTCTGCGATGCTCTCTCACTTTCCTTTCGAATCTCTGCAGACGACGACGGCCACGAACATCTTCTCGAAAAAGACGATGACGGCCACGATGAACGAAGCCCAAAGTCCACTGCTGCTGAGCCCGGAGTCAAACAATGCTGAACCACCCTTAAAAAATACTTTATTCTTTAAAAAAAACGCTGCTGAACTGTGACAGATAAATAGATAATCCATCTGTTTTGAAATTTTCAAAAAAAAAAGTTTACATGATTTTTTTTTCAAAACTTAAACAAAAATTTATAATTCTCTATTACTATTGACCATGATCTTGGAGTGGATCTGAATTTTGACAGCATTGAATCAGTCAAAAAAAATTTACCACTTCTCCTATATTTTAGATCCCTGATTTTTATTGTTGTGTAGACAACATGTAATTTTATCATTGTTTGGCTATAAAAATAATAATAAATTGTTTCTTGCAAGTTTTTTTTTAATTGTACTAACTGGTGGTACAAGATTGTTGCCTGAAAATTCAGAATATAGCAACTCCCTTTGTTTACACCCATAGATGCTCTGAAACTGAAGACCTTTTTCTTTCAAAAAAAGAAACTGAAGGCTTTGCACACTGACGATAAGTGAGTGGCAACTGGAAACGCCAGCAAAAAAAAAAATTGTTTTATTTCTATACAGTCACACGAGTTTGGAATTACAGGTATTTATACAAGTCACTGTATTTCCCCTCCTTGGTAAAGATCAGCATGTACATGAGTTACATCGATCACATTTTTCACATCATTTCTCTGCATCAACCATGACCACTTACGGTCAGTAGAAATGTTGATAGCATCAACAGCAGGAGCCTCCTATACATATGTGATCTTGTTAGAGAGGGGCGTTGGAACATGTTGGTACAGTATCAGTATATACAGCGTTCTCCACTAAGTTGACTTCACCGACAGCAACTCCAGCTCCGCCCACCAGAGCGGCGACAGCCGCGGCGCTGCTGCCTCCGGTGAGATGCCGAGAGGTGGTTGCAGTTTTCCCACGACGTCTCTCATCGATGGCCGCCGCGTCGGGTCGGCGTCTATGCACTCTTGGATCACCTCGCAGACGGCCTCCAGCTCGTTATCCTTGTGCTCCTTCAGCGACGTGTCCACCAGCTTGCTGTAGTTCTTGTCTTTCAGATACTCAGAAGCCTGTGGTGACGAGAAAGAACTTTAGAAGTGCAACCCTGCATAATTTGAAGAGCTGAGATTGGAAAAATCATACCCAGCTGCATATGGGTTTATGATCATCTGGATCAGGAACCCTCCCGGATATGATCTCGATCATAAGCGCGCCCAAGCAGTAGACGTTACTTGGGAGATCCGGAGGAGCTTCAGAACGGCTGCTGCCGTCCTCCTTTCCAGCCTTTGCTTTGGCAGCAAGTTCGTTCCATACACCAACATCTGCAATCTGCACCAGCAGAGCACATTACACTATATTAGCTCAAGAAAATAGCCATCCACAGGTTAATTGAGCAAAATATCCGTGCCAGTTCCTTCACTGGAATTTATATTTGTTACTGAAAGTAGCATAGCTAGCTGAAGCTTGTACCTTGGCAGCATAATCATCTGAAATGAAGGTTGTGTCAGACCGCACATCGTGTATCGCGACAGGGGGATTGAGCTCATGGTGCATGTATTGAAGGCAGTATGCGATGCCCATGATGACTCTCATCCTCGCAGCCCAGTCCAGATGCTCAAATTCTTTGACTGCAAATAAAAAGTGCATTCAAGTTGTAGGGAACACATATGCGTATGAATTAGGAGGTTATGCGCAAGTAAAATCACTTACCGTGAAGATGCTGTGAGAGACTGCCATGTGGAGCGAACTCAAACACCATCATTCTCGTGAAAGGCTCATTTTCTAGGCAATAGCCAAGGAGATTGATAAAGTTCTTATGGTTGACCCTTGACAGTGTATCTATCTACATGGAGGCGAGGATTATCAACGAAGAATTAGTATTGAAAGATCTTCTATTCTCAGGTAGTTTGTGTAGAGAACAAGATGTTGCTAGTCATAAACCTTTTTCTTGAAACATGTTTCCGCACTCCTGGACCAGTCTTTGCTCGATGATATGACAGTGGAGACAACACCAATCTCAACTCCGCCTGATAATATGCCCTTGAATACAGTACAGGTAGGAAAAGTATTGATGATGTTGCTAAAATCCTCACAAGCAGCTTCAAGCTCAAGTCTGTTCAGTTTTTGGGCACCTGAATACGAGAAACAGAAATGCATTGAAGCACCTGGATGCTCAGACGTAATTATGAGTGGTAAGGAACTATGGATATAAAAGTACAACTACAAGCACAAATAGAACTCCTGAACCATATCTTAACCCACCAAGAAAACCTGAGAGTCTCAACGACCAAAGCCTCACAAAAGTTGCACAGGCTAGTGATCTTTGTATAATTGCCAATGCAGAATGTCACTTTTCAAACTTTGCATGCATTCCCTTCCCAAGTGTAAAATTAAATAGAACAATAACAATGTCTCACCTGTTACAAGGGCCTTCTGAATAGGGCCACTTAGCCCTGTTTTCCAAGGGGCTACTGATGCACGCCCTCGCTTCCACAAAACCAAAACTATCAAAACTATCAGACCAATGAGCAATATTACAGCTGGAATTGTGATAATATATGCCCACTTGCTATACTTTGTATCAGACATCTCTACATCAGTGGACTGGGCCACTTCTGTAGACAGCTGCTGAACTGTGGTAGCATCAATATCTTCGGGAAGCAAAGGTGTCAGAGCATCGCCATATATGCCTGGAAATGCAGGGAATAAGCCACTTCCTAGAGAAATCACATCAACAGGTCTCTGAATTTCTTTTGGATTTTCTGGATCAGAAGATTTAGCATCATTTCCCAAAAGAGCAGGCAGATTGTCAGTTTCACTAAGAAGCCTGCGGCGCATGGCACTTGCAAATGACTGCAAATTCTTTATGATGTGTGCCTCACTGAAATCTGAAAGATGTACAAGGATACAAATGTTAAATGCAGTGTATATAACATAAAAGCACAAGGGCTGATTTTGCAGCATGAAAAATGCAAAATTACTTGGTACATTGGTGTTATATTTCTCTCGGAGACCACTGAGAGATATCCAATCCTTAAAGTCCGACTTGTACAGCAAAGACCTTTAAAGAGGTGAAATATTTAGAAACAAAGACTAGAAATGTTGGAAGCTAATATGGAGCACAGACAGAAGTGGTACCAAGTATATTCCCTTACCAGCACCCTAGTTTTCTGCTCAAGCATCCTGCCTGATCATCAGCTATCGCTTGGACGCCTTCTTGGAACTGATTATCATGAAGGGATCTGAAACATAAGAGTCCTTAATTATACCAAGGAATGAACAGAACGGAGAACAGAGGACAGAAGAAGCCTTACAGTTGTTTGAGCAGTGGCATAGCCCCTAGTTCTTCTGGAATTGTTCCATCCAACTTGTTGCTGCTCAAATCTAGCACTTCTAGAGCAAACAACCCTCCAAATTCTCTGGGGATTCTCCCCCGGAAGTTGTTCTTTGGAAGTAAACTAGACAAAATAAGGAGTAAGAAAATATCATCCCACACAAGGATTTGCGGTACATAATACATTGCACTAGAGCTAAGAAGTGACTTGACTGTGGAGATGAGTGTAGAAACCAACTCACAGGAATTTCAGACCTTGAAGGCTCCCAATCTCAGGTGCGAGAGTTCCAGCCAATTCTCGGCCTGTTAAGTTCCTGTATGACAAAGAAAATAAGAAACCAATGTACATGATTTGTGTAAAAAGTCAAGACACAAATAAAACAATAGCAGCAAATCAAATCGGCACAGCAGCTTTGTGAAAAAAATCATGCTAATTACAAGAAAGAAACAATATAAATTAGTTCTTTCCTAAATCTGACATCCTCTTAATGGATAGTTGTAGCAAACTATTAAAATGGAACTTCAAAAATCATCAATAGGTTGTAGCAAACTATTAAAATGGACCTTCAAGAAACATCAAGAGGTTGTTCGTGGCATCAATTTGTATGGAAATAAAGGAAACCACACTTACAGAATCTCTACTTTACCGTCAAAGCATCGCACGCCGGACCAGCTGCATGGGCTGCTGTCCATGGGATCCCAATCCTGGAAGACACCATGGGGATCAGCCTCCACCCTCACCTTTAGTTCCAGCAACGCCAGTCCTAACACACAAACATGACTTAACAGTCACAAATCACCAAACCGAATTCACCGAACGCGATTGCCACCCATGTCATGTCCCAGAACAAAACTTCGCTCTGCAAAATAAGTAATGGTTACCTTCACCGTTGATCGAAGCCGCGCCACGGCTGGCCTGTGCCTGGAGCAGCACCACGAGGAAGAAAAACAGCAGCTGGAATCCAGAGCCGTGGCTAAGCCACCGCCGCGCACCCATGGCAACGGGAGCGCCTCCTCCCGGAGAATAGCAACCCAGCAACCAGGCGCCAGTTCGCTAACTACCGTCGCTGGCCGAGCCTCTGCCTCTCAGGTTCCCAATACTTTGGAGAACGAAAGAACAAGACGGGACCACCGCAGCGTTCAACGGCCGGGCACGGAAAATGTTGGCTCAGCTTGGGAGTCGGTTATCTATCCCCTGCTGCGTCGCCATCACGCCGGGGAGAACAGACGCCGCGCCGCCTCGGTTGTTCCGGCGAGCTCGAGGTGCTCGAGCTATTCGCCGGAGCCCATTGGTCCCGCCGCACCGGAATGGGGTCCTGCCTTTCCCCCCGGCGTTTCTCGCGCCGAGAAAATTGGGTTCCTGGCGGAGCAGCCGGATAGAGCCCTTGTCGCCGGGATGGGTGGCGGTCGGCGGCGGCGGCGCGAAGGGGAGGGGAGTTTTCGCGCGCGAAGGTGGCGGGCGGCGGTTAGATTCGGTTCAGAGGTGGCCAGGGACAGGGAAGCGAGGGAGCGTGCCCGTCGCCGCCGCGCGCGCAAAGCCACTGCCTCGATGGGCCGCCCTCGTGGGGAAAGGCAAAGGCATGACCACCCCCCATCATCTATGCACGCATGATACCCATCACAGCCGTCCATTCCTCTCTTCGGCATTCATCCATCCCTTGATTCTTCGCCTATCCCAATCATTATTTCCGCTATGAATTTTGATGCAGCATGCAAGTGAATGGTGAATTGGTGATTGAGAGTACAATGGTACCATGAATAATGTTATGGTGGTAATTTATGATAATTTCAATGAATTACATATTTGGTTCTGTGATTATCAGGTGAATGATTATTTAAAAAAAAAGCTTAAAAATGAAAAGATGAGACAAACAGAGGCAGAATGTTTAGCACACCATCTCACACCTTACCAGGTTTACCTCTTGTTCTTTCTTTACCATGACGAGGTCCCAAACTTTACTCATGGCGTGATGTTTCGCTATACAGTTATTAGTGGGAAATCAGTGATTCCCCAGTGCAAAAAAAAAGATAACAGTTGGCGAAACAGGGCAATCAAGGTCCAAGTATGTCTCGACTTCAAAAATAAGTACCAGCATACATATCTGCAAAGAGATTTTTATATAAAAAAAATAGCGTCTCAAAAAATACATATTTGCAAAGAGGACAGAGAAGAGCAGCAAGAATCTGTTCATGCCTTGATGGAGCTCGGAAATTTGGAACCAAACCGATCAATGTGGAGCAAGCAATGCTGGCATAAATTAATGTGTGATTGTGTCAGAATCTTGATTAGTACTAGTATTGACCGAAAGTATAATGGTTTGAATTATTCTGAGTTTTGTTGTGCAATACTAACATCCTATATGCAGCGTTCCAAAAAAAACATCCTATATGCAGCTAAATAGTAGGCATGATGATGCAAACTGCAATTGATAGTTACTGATGACAAAAGCATGCCACTGGATCTGAATTGGCGTCTTTATAAAGGCACATCCAAGTTTCTTACCTACTTTCTGAAGCATGAGCTACCTAAGCAATCTTTATTGAATAAGCAAAGTAAAAAACTCAAACGTGGACGAATTTAGATCTTTTCCATGCTTTACAATTTGTTCGCCAGCAACTTTCTTCTTGCTGGCTGATCATTCAACTTCGCGCTGGCACCTCTATATGCTCCTTTTGAACAAGAATCATCAGAGCGGTCGAAAAGTACAGTGTAGTTCTTGCTGCTCACATCCCTGAAGTAGCATCCATCAGTTCCCACATACTTATACACCTGATGGGTCTTCCCCAATCCACCGACCACCAAATTCTTCTTCACCCTCATAGTGCCTTGCGCTGATTGTGCATTCCGCAGGGAGCTGTACAAGAAGCCCAGTTTCCCACCAGAGGTCTTCTTCTCATTGATACCAAATTTGACAAGTGAATCCAATGAGTACTCATCACCCGCTTGATCTGAGGTTCCAGTATAAAGATACAGTGGGAAAACCTCATGGAATTCCTCAGAGAGCAGCACAGCAGAAGCATCCTTGGCAAAAATGCCAGACTTTGCATCGATTGTTTGGTTCACTATTTGCACAGTGCCATTCTTTCTAAACACATTGCTGTTTTCATAGCTGAATCTCTGGTAGAAGGTTGTGGTGACCTCCCCGAACGACGATTTCACCCATCCAGTGGCAGAGACATGCCGACTTGCACTTGTCACAAACTGCCCATCTAACCCAGTGAAATCTGAGTTCACATTAAGGTCCAATCCAGATGCATCATAGCTCAGCAAGCTCCCAGTGGTCTTCTCACTCTTGTGATCCAACCACAGATGCAAATTGGCATCAATGTACCACACATCAAGAGCGTTTGTCACGCCAAACCCAAAATCATGCTCCTTGCCATCCAGGAGCTTGCCCAAGAATGGCGTGATGTCAATGTCATATGTCGGAAGATTGAATGAGCCGATTCCAGTGATTGGCCGCCATAGAAGCGGGTTGACACCACCGGTATAAATCACAGTGAATGGCCAAACAGCGCCGACGACTTCACCATCCACCCTAACTACGACTTCCCTGAATGCACCATTGCCGGGGACATTGGACAAGTTGTTCGCCTGAATGTAATCGTTGGGTGGATTGGTATACCAGAACTCGTCGTCGGAGTGGAAGGAAACGAAGACCTCAAGTACCGCCCTGTAGGTGTTCGACGGAATGGCGAGCTTCTTTGACTGCACATCGGTAGAGTTCTGGATGGCGAACCACTGCCCGTCGTTCAAGGGTAAGCTCCTTGAGATGGGCACAATCAGATCGGACTGCTGCTGCTGCTGCGGCTCGGCGTGGAAGTAGAGGTGGAGCGTGAGGTTGGCGTGGTAGACGCCGGTGTATGTTTTGTCGATGAGGTTGCCGAGGTACACCGCGACCTCACCGGGCTCCACGAGGAGGGCGGCGTACCTGGTGACGTCGCGGGACACGGACCAGAGGATGCCGTTGGGGCGCGGCTCGGCGGTGCAGCTGCGGAGGAGCTCGGCGCCGGAGAGCCAGACGCCGAAGATGCGGTCGAACTGGCGGCCGCGGCAGTCGGCGGCCCACTCGAGCACGGCGAGCGCGAGGGTGCCGCCAGCGCCGAGGCAGGCCGGCGGCGCGTAGGAGGCGGTGACGGGGGGCCGGCCGTAGGTGGCGCCGAAGGTGGCCGAGAGGAGCAGCGTGGAGCAGGGCCCCGCGCTGCCGCGCGGCGGGCGGATCGGGCGGTCCACCTCGAAGAAGGTGGTCGGCGGCCCCGACGCGTTGAGGGAGGCGACCTGCAAGGACGCGCCGAGGCGGTGCCTGCTCTGCGGCGCCGCGGCCGCCGCCACGGCGGGGGAGAGGAGGAGGGCGAGGAGCACGAGGAGGGTGCTCGAGGCGGCGGCGGATGGCGCCATGGTCGGAGCGGTGGGCACGAGGTGCGGTTGGACTGGGCGGAAGCTGAAGTGGACAAGTGAACTACCCGGCTGGTTTAAACGAGGTGATCTAGGTGGTGTTAAGATCTGTGTTTGTTGGTGGGCAAGGTTGCTCTGACAAGTGGGCCTAGCTATAGGTTTGGTGGTGATTTTTAGTGTATATATATTCTACTCTTTCTTTTAAAGGGAAGACTATGTGCTTTGGTGTCAACGGAATAGTTTGGCGTGATTATCTGGTTTTTCCGGTATCCATAACAAAAATCCACCTATGAGAATTTGTGCGATAAAGCTATTGTATACAAAATTAGAGATAACATATAATGCAATGTTCTATGAGTTGTAACTATACAATTTATACATTTTGTGTTTAATGGACTACTCCATTTGTAAACTCATAGAACATTGCATTATTATCTCTAATCTCTAATTTTGTATACAATAGCTTTGTTCACACAAAATTTCATAAATGGTTTTTGTGTTATTGGTACCGAAAAACCCAGATAATCAATCCAACTATTGACACCTAAGTACAGTACGCAATTGTCTTCCATTTAAAGAACATAGATAGTCTCATGTGACATTCTCATGTAATCTTGAAATATGTACATAAGCCTAGTTCTTGATCAAAAGATATTTTTCTCTATCTTCTATTAAAATATGAAATAATATGGTTAGAGCTAGCTCATAAGTCACCATTGGAGCTGCCCTTAGAGATGTACCGGGTCATTTTATGAATCTTGATTTCAGCGAGGACTAATCCTAAAGCAGAATGGGTCAATGAAAGAAAAATGCCAAGACACTGAACGTCAAGCTGATCTTGATACTAATGAGAAATGAATCATTCAGAAGAAAAAAAAAAACCTATTTTTTTCTTCAAGTAGAGAATAAGCACATTTGATTTGAGGAGCGAGATATTGATGGCCATTCGATTATACTCCAAACCTAATTTTGTAGCGGTTTTAAAACATAGTCACTCAATACATCATTATTCGAATCTTTAAACACACACTAGGGCATGTGTCTAGGAACGTGGGGATACAAAACACAAGAATATAAAAACTCACAGGAAAGGAATAGAAGTGAGGTATCAAAACAGAGGATTGAAAAAACTTAGAAAAAAGACATAAAGAGGTGTTCCGACGCAGGAATTTATAGCATAGGACATAGGAATTGAGAAGACGTAGGAATTTATAGCATAGGACATAGGAATTGAGAAAATAAAGGTAAATAGAACATTAATACGTAGTGACAGATTAACGGAGATTTTTACTCCACCTCTAAATCGAGTAACACTTACATGTGGGACCAATGGTCCATGGTACATGTGCGACGAGGCGAGACAGGTCATTTATGAATCTATCTATCCGTAACAGGAGGAATGAAGGACCAGAGGAGACGAAAGCCGCAGATGAGCCAGACAAATGGGCCTCAACAGGCCAATTCAACTGGATCGTCAAACGGAAGCGCGAAGCCACCTGTGCTGTGTTCCGTCCGGTGACAGGCTCATTTAGGCCCATCTCCACTGACCTCAAGCAACGATTTTGAGACGTCTACCGCCTTGGCGCCTTGTGAGTTGTGAAGCAAATGCTACTCGAATAAACCGCTTCCATATGACAATTCTTCCTCAAAAACATATTCACGTCTTTATCTTTATTATACACCTAAAAAATCCGTACAGCTATCGTCTGCGCCCCTGCCTCCGCTCCGCCGCACGGCAAAAAAAAATACCGTAAAAAAAACCAACGTCCCTATTTCTAAAAAATCAAATACGGCAAAAATAACCTTTCTGAAAAAAAAACATATAAACCGTTTCAGAAACAAACTCTACCACATCCCGTTTCCAAAAAAACAAATACGACAAAAAAATGTTTTCAAAAAAAATATATACGAAAAAAATCAATCAAATCTATCCGCGGGCGCCCTAGCTCCAGCCTGCGCCGGCGGCGGCGAGCAATCGCGACCTACTGCCGTGCGTAGTCCCGGCATACACGGGAGCGCGCGTTTCACCATGGACGCGAGCAATGCCATGCCAGTACGTGATGGCGGCGGCCGCGGTGCTCGCCATGCTCCGCAACGTGTTGGTCGTGTGTGCTCTCGCTTGCCGCGCCTTGCCGCCCTAGCTCAAAGATGTGCCGGCATGCATGCGTGTGGCCGTTGTTGTCCGCACCCGCTTCGCCTCTCGCGCTGCGTGTGGCCGTTATGTTCGCGCTTCGCCCTCGTGCGAGAGCAAGAACGAAGGAACAACTTGTCGTTGGACGAACGGACAGACCTCCTGGCCGCAAGTCTCCTGAGTGGCAAAAAAACCGTTTCAGAAACAAACTCTTCCACATCCCCGTTTCCAAAAAAAATACAGCCAAAAAATGTTTCTGAAAAAAAAATCAGCAAAAAACATCGATCAAATCTATCCGCGCGCGCCCTAGCTCCAGCCTGCACCGCCGACGGTGGGCAATTGCGACCTGCTGTCGTGCATAGTCCCGGCATACGCGGGAGCGTGCGTCTCGCCATGGACGCAGCGATGATGATGATGCCGATGCGTGCGGCGGCGGCGGCGCGGGTTTCATGGCGCTCGCTGACGCGTGCTAGTCATGTGCTCGCCGCCGCCACCGCTGCCGCGCTAGCCTAAGCCGTAGCTTGTGCCGCTGGCGGTGGGCACTGCAAACGCCGCTTCGCCGTCAACAAGATGTTCTGCAGGCGTGTGCGCTACCCACGCGTCTGCGCCCTGCTCGCCTCGTGCGCGTGTGGCCGCCATTTGCACCTCGCTCGCCCTCATGCGAGAGCAGGAACGAAGGAACGACGTGCACGAACGGATGGACCTCCTGGCCGCACGTAATAGACGAGTCTCTTGCGTGGTGGTTTGCTTCATGCCCGCACGTAACAACGTGGCCCATTAGCCTACCACGTCCATATAGACGAAGGAAAACCTAGAGAATTTACAAATAGTTTAGGGTTCCAAATGCAAAAGTATCTATTAGATTTTTATTAATTTTTAAAAATATAAAATAATAAAACACACGAATAATAATTAAAAAATGAAACCAACTGTATTAGGTTTCTAAACACCAAATCAACACAATATAGGTCATAAAGATCATAAAATATTCTTTATGTAATCGAATTTGTATATTTCTTAATATGTTCGTCTAAATTGTAAGTCATGTGCACCATAAACAAGATAAAAATTTGTTAATATGTTCGTCTAAACCATAAGACGCGTGCATCGATATACACATGGATACAAATTCGTTACCCCATACAACGTACGGGCATATATATATAAGTAAACTAAAGTATTGTTGGTGACATAAACTGTATGTTTCTGAAGATTCCAACTCACGCGTGTGAGAAATAACGTCTATTTGGCACATCTCACGATAGCTTTATGAGCTTTTTTTTTTTTTTTTTTTGCCAAACACTTATTACCAAGTGAAGCTGTTTTTCTCGTAGCCTCAGACCTGAGTTGTGATGAATCTGAAAATACCAGTTTATCCTAGCTTCATCTTTCATACGTGGACCCACTCTACACACCGGACAGCTTTTGCCCACGAGAGAGAGCACGCTCGCACGGGAGGGAGGCGACGGGACGTAGCAGGCTGGGGCGCGGCCGCCGGTGCCGGGAGCGTGTCCAGCCGGAGCGCGGCCCGCCGGGGCCGGGAGCGCTGCCCGCTGGGGCGCCGGCCGTCGCCGGAGCGCCGCTCGCCGGGGGCGCGGCCGCCAGGAGCTTCGCGCGGAGGAGCATAGGAAGGAGACGAGGCATGCCACAGCGGGAAGAAGAAGACGAGCAGAGGAAAGAAGAAGAAACCGGGGATGCGCGGACTCGGCCGGCACGCCGGGGACTCCGGACTGGGGCGCCGGGATGCGCGGGGCTGGGGGCCGTGGCCGTCGGACTGGGGTGCGGTCGTCTGCGGGGCGCAGCCGCCGGGATGGGGACGCGGCCGCCCGGGGCTCGGGCGTCGGCCATTTGAGATCAGGCTTGGGCATCGGCCATCCGAGATCGGGTTCTGGCGTCGGGCATCGGCCGTAGGTAGAAGATGGCAATAAGGGGAAGAAAAGGAAAAGGCTAGGGGTATTTTGGTACTCTATTCTTTTCTCTCCTGTTGAGAAGCTGTTTTACGTGAAAAAACAGCTCAGCACATGTAGAGCTGCTCATTGAGCCAAAAATAAAAGGGCCGTTTAAAGACTAATGGCAAACCTCAACTCAACGAAAGAAGGCAAATCCAGTGCACTTTGATATTTGTCAGAGACAGAACTGTACCCGTTTGGATGCGAACAAAGAGACACGCCGATGTCGTTGCTTTAGATTTTGTAAATTTTACCAATCATCAGTTGGACACTGTCCAGCATCGCCGCACCGGCAGCAGCATCGCAGGCTCGCAGCATCGGTGCGGCGCTTGCCTTCCTCGGTTCTTTCCTCTGCCTGTGTACCCGTTTGCTTCGCTGAAAAGATAACCTGAAAAAAGTAAACACGGTTTCGAAAAGTGCAGCTCGTAAGAGCTGCGAACAGTCTACGCGGCTACGCTACGCATGACGCATCGCTCCTGTTCGGTGCGTCCTGGCCACTGATACAGTTGAATTCGTGAGCCTACGGGTTCCGTACGAGTATGACGTACAGGTATTTTATACAGCCAAATTTCATACATCCATTTGAACGAGTGAGCATGATTTTTTAATTGCACTTATCCTAAACGCGTCCATGTAAATTTTAAAAAAAGGAAGGGTTTTACGTTAAATATAGAAATTGAGTTCTATGAGTTATTTTCATAGTGAATCTTTAGGGAAAATTGGATCCAAATTTGCATCAAAATTACGCATCTTTAGATTTGTACCATTAAAAGATTCAAAAGATCTCAACTTTGCAAATATCTAAAATTAGTGATGCTACAATTGTTGTCAGTTGATGTTGCTATTTGTGATTTAGTGCAAGAGTTGAAAAGATCAATGCATGGTTAGTGCGGGTCAGAAATGGAGAAAATTTATGCGTGCTT